CTCTAATAAGTTTAGTTATCTTGCCTCATGGGGAAATTCCTGCTCCTCCAAATATCAAACTTGTTGAGGTTGTGCTGGTTTTTTTTCAGGAAGGAACAAATAATATTATTAGTTAAATGGGACTGCACAATATGAAAATACATTAGTGTAGTTTAAAAATTGGACATTGTGTAAGAATTATAATATATTTTACTAGCAGTGGGAAATAGAAAAACATTAAAAATTCAGTGGTGTATCCCAGATGTCTAAATAAATACACAGGCATCATTGTTCAGCCCATTGAGGCAAGGATGCTCAGTGGTTCCCTTCGAGAGCACAGTTCTTTCTAATATCCTGCACAGTTATGAGTTCTGTGCATCACTCTTGCATAATTTGACCATTTTTTAGGTACTGTACACTGTGGGACTCTCTGAGCTCTGATTGCCCCATAGGTTTTATTAGAAAGAATACCAAGTGGTTTCAGGTGATTTCTCAGCAACCATCCTGGGAAATAAGTGTTCTTATGGTTCCCAGAGCATCAGCCATATTCGTGTGTTTGTCACAGAAATGTGAGAGTCTTCCTTCCCTTTTGATTTGGAAACACAGGACAAAGCAAGATGCACCTGTAGATGTTCAGAGAGCTGTACTCCTGCTGCACAGGCAGTGAAAGAAAAATGCTGTGGAATGAAGGATTTGGCTTTGTGCCATCTTGTGTTTATTTTTGTACTGTTTTCCTTTTTAAAGTGTGAATGTTTAATGATCTGTTCTGAATCATAATGGTTTATGATGTTTCCTGTTACCTTAGTGGTAGACTACAAAACTCCCTTACATTAAGAATTTGCAAACTCCACTAGATACTTATTTAATTAAGAGCTGGCACTGAAAGTTTCTAATAAAATTTCCACAGGGGCTTTAGGGCCTGAGGAGCCAAATTTCCAGCATGTGTTAGTAGTGCAGAGGAGATTAAGGGAATCCTGTCTCAGCACTGTGCAATGCCTGACCAGGATGGAATTAGCCACCCATGTCACAGTTCTGCACTGACCCAGCTCTACCAGCTTGATCCCAGTGGTCCAAACCTCTCAGATAGTTTGGTCATCTCTGTGCTGCTTTCTGAGCTGTGTTTGGAGTTTTATGTTCTACAGTAAAAGCAAAGGTGAAATGTCTTCATTGGAAGAGAGCTTCAAATTTACCTTGGTCTCTTCTCTCTACTCTCATCTCTGTCCTCTTGCATGTGGCCCTGCCTGCCTCCTGCTTTGTACACTAATTCTTTGTGTTCCCTCTCCCGATGGCTTTTGGAGACTTTATGATGATTACTTTCACCAAACTTTGTCTGTCTAAGTAGTTAGAGTTCTAATCCAAACTCGTAGACCTTACAAATTTTCCTCTCCCATGATGAAACATGCAGACTTTCAAGCTCATGAAAGTTAGATGAAACAGTATACATGGGGGAAGTGGCAAAACCAGACCAGACTTAGAAAAAAGATAATTTTCCAGTCTGTTGCGGAGATGCTCTTTCCAGTACACTGGCAAATGTACCAAAAAGGTGAGAACAGACTGAATTATCACCATCCTTAAAGGGACAGTTGGCCATGTAATTTTCCTTCTGTTGAGAGGGCAAAACCCATCAAAGCAAATGAGTGTAAGAATCTAGCACTGATGGGACATTTTTTTGCTTGGTTCAACATCTAGAAGTGAGGAATTTCTGTATGTGGCTTAATGTACAATGCTGGTACTTCTGCAGAACTTTTGGGAATTTTTTCTCCTTGGGAAGGATGAACAATACAATGGGACCCTTGGCTGTTCGTTTGCATTAAAAGAGCATCCATAAGCCAAGTTTGCCAGATCAGTTTCCCTGTCTGAAGTGTTCTGATTCCTGAGTGCCTGATTCTGCAGCTTTGACTTCACTGAAGCCATTAAGTGTTGCATTAATAATAATAATAACCACGAAGCCTGTTTTTACTTATGCATTTATTCAAGTCATGCAAAGAATACATACCCTGCTTTTTTAGAGAAAGTTTCATTACAGGGTTTGAGCATTCTGACTGTGTCTCTTAAATATTAGGATCCAAAAAAAAGGTGAAAAAATTGTCTTTGCAAGTTTCAAACCATTCTAGGTCTACTTTGTTGCCTCCAGCCAGATGCTGTCTGATGTTGCCTAGACAAACCAGGGCAAACCATTATCCTGGGATTAAACACTAAATACCTGCAAGGAGCATTCTCTTTATCAGATAGCGCTCTGTTAGCAGAGTTCATTCACTTTATTGCATATATAACTGTGGTGTCAAATAGACTGATTTACAACACCTGGTCTTTTAAATAATCTTTGCTATTTGCCGCACTTGTAATCTGCCAAATCATTTAGCCTTCCTGATAGCAGAAATGCTGTAAAACTTAGATAAACCTGCAGAAGAAATGAACTCGGAGGTACTGCTGAAATCTAGGGCCTGCACGTTTGCTATAAATGCTATAAATGGTTTGGTTTCCCCCTGCCTAATCTGTGATTGAATGTGGCTGCTGGAGAAATTGAAATTTTATGATAGCACTACCGTCAGAGGAGATAAGCATTTGTATGCTAGACTAGATTAATCTAAAAAGAAGTTTTAGGTGTGGCTAATGAAACCAGTGTATGTGTTAACTGGGTTTCTTTGGGGGTTCAAAGCATATGTCTGTATCTATACAGACTCTAGTCCAAAACTTTGTGTAAAAAGTCTCATATATCTATGTGCTAGTTCTCACTATCAGTGCAGCTTATTCCATTTTACGTTGGAGATATCTTTAAGGAGCTTCGCTTTTTAAAGGGTATTTCTGAATCCTAATACAAACTACAGACCCCTCTGAAATGGTCTTGTTTGACTACCCAAAACTCCATGTCCTTCTGAACTTTTTGGCGGGGGTAACTGAAAGACGTTTGCTTAGGCTTAGCCGCTTACAAGATCCATTTGAAAGAAAAGCTGGTGGGTTTGTTTTGTTGTTGTTTCTTTGGTTTTTTGTTGTTGGTTGGTTGGTTAGCTGGTTGGTGTTTTTTTTTGTTTGAGTTACTAATTTTTTGCAATTATGAGTGATGTAAACAGACAGGTAATAGAAAGACACATAGCTTTAAATGTTAAAAAAAAGAAATTTGCAAATTGGCTTTTTGACATGCAAGCTAGTACATTTGAAGGAAAAAAAACCAATCTGTAGTCAAACAGAGGAGAGAGCCCTGTGAAGGAGTAATGTCAAGCTGGTCTGTGTTAGAAATAATGATGACCATCAGACTAGAAGAAACAATAAGAATTGAAGGAAATAAAAGCATTTATGGAGTAACTTCAGTGGTCACCATTAACACCAGTATTGAACCATGAGTACCACTGTTAACTCCTTTGAGCCAAGGAAGTAGTTGTGTGTCTCAGACATAACAGCGAGTGACCTTGTCGTGGACAAGCGTTTGTCATCTCGGGCTTTGGAACAGGCTACCCAGGGAGGTGGTGGAGTCACCATCCCTGGTGGCATTCAGGAAATTGCTGCACATGGCACAGAGTGCCGTGGTCTGGTTGCCAGGGCAGTGATCGGTCACAGGTTGGACTCGATGATCTTGGAGGTCTTTTCCAGCCTAAATGATTCTGTGATTCTGTGACAGTTTTCCTGATGATAGATGGGACATAGCACTCACTGGTGGAGATAATGAAGGGTGTTTTGCATGGCATGGCTAGTTTAGGGAAGGAAAACTTCTTACCTCCTGCATGAGGCTGCTGGACAGCACAAGCAGGGGGTCTGCCTTTGGGATGTACTTTGGCCGCTGCTAATCTTTCACATCAGTAAACTGTTGTGAATGTTCTTAAGAATTTTTCATCCCGTCTGAGTTGACAGACCTACCCCAACTGTATTATTTGCTTAGTCTGTCCAGGTTCCTGTTGTCATGAAAGGAAAAACAGAGGATATTCTCAAAGCAGCAAACAGCTTGAGGTGTTTTCTTGTGCTATGAATTAACTCTTTTTGCTTCCAAGAGAAGGACCCTATGGGTGCAATCCACAGCACCAACTTTCAGTTGTTCAATGTTCTCTGAACGATAGTCTTTGAACATGTGAGTTACTTCAGGGTTGGGAACATCAGGCAGGTTAGTGCTAACAACAGGATGGCACAAAGGGGACTTTTGGGTAAAACTCTGGAGTGCTATCTCTTGGATATCACTCTTAGTTATCACTTAGATATCACCAGAGAACAGCCTCCCTGGGGAAGCAGTGGAAATGGTATTGTTTAAGACATTTAAAATTGGACAGGAGGAAATATATTGTAATGATCAATCCTGTGCTGGTATTTAGATCAGGTCTTGTCTCGTGTGAATATTAATAGGAAATCTCTGTCTGAAGTAACTGCCATTATTCAGTGTGCATTAGCAGATAACGCTGGCTTGCAGCCTTCCCCCACATCTGTACTCCCGCTTAAAGGACAGCCTGAGTAATGCTTACACCTTTGCCTTTTCTCTGGATGTCTTTGTATTGCCTTGCTTAGATCCTATTCCTTCAGTGCTTCCACCAGTCAGACTCCATACAGTACACAGAGATTTACAGGAAGCACATGCAGTTTGTGGCAATAGTAATAAAGTCTCCTGCTGTTTTCAAATCCCTGGGAAACTAAATCAAGTGTAGAGGTCTATTAAAAAAAAAAAAAAAAAAGGTGCAGCATGTCGCTTTACCATTACTGTTGTGGGTCTGCTTTTTACCCATTCTGTGTGTTTGGCTGTCATATCTCTGAGGTCTGTGTTCAGTCTCCAGAGTGCGACTACGACATTGCACACCTCAAATGGAAAAGCTGATGAAACAACTTAAAATAACCTGAGCACCCATTGTTTGCTCACCTCTTTTCCACTGCCTCTGTGCTGTCATTGCTGACAGGAGCCCATACAGCAAAATTCATTCTGTGCTGGTGGCCCCCACCAGACAATGCAGGTCTAGTCTGATTTATGGAAGCAGGAAGACTGGATTCAATTCCTGCACGGTGCTGAGATCTTAATAGAGCTCTGTGTTCTTGGTGTGCCTCTGTAGGTACGAAGCCTGTCTTCTGGACCTGGTTGAAGCGATGAGTCCGATATCTGCCCCGGGACACCCCAGCAGAGAATCTCACGACAGGAGCAAAGCGCACACGCCTCGCCGTGCGAGCCGCAGGCTGTCGTCGTCGTCCTGGTACCAGAGCCCTGGCAGCTCCAGGAGCAGAGCAGAGGAGATGGAGGAGAGCCGGCTCCTCGAGGAGATTTTCTTCATTTGACACAACTCGTTGGTCTACAGCCAGTTTTTAAATTATTTGAGTGACAACTGCTTGTTTTCCCTCTTCTAAAACACAGCTAATCATCATCCAGTTTCATTTTGGATTTAGTAATCATGATGCAAGTACATTGTTGGGGTAGGCCAATCAGAAAGCGTTAACTTTTTTTTCTAAACCTTTCGTGTGCCAAGTAATCAATTTAAAATAGAATTTTTTTTAATCTACAACATTTTCTAATAGATTGAAGTCACAGTTTTGCCAGCCTCATATCGGAAGTATATTTCATTATCGATTTTTTGGCTCTAAAGCAGTTTGCAAGAACTGCCTAACATTCAAGAACCAGCATGTTCGAAGTAGATTATTTTCTAATTAAACAAGTCTGTTTAAAACCTGGCATATTATAAAGGTACAAGCACTTTATTACTTTTTCACTGATTTTTATTATCTACTTTTTTTTCAACATTCTGATATTTAACGTGGTGAGTTTTTAGGGGATATATCGTAAGCTCAACTCTACAGTGTCTGATAATGTTAATAGATGATGTTGCAGGTTGATGTACTAGGCACCCGTTTGAATTATATTCCTCTTTAAATCTGTGCTATTTGAGAGAGTTTATGTGCTTGGTAACCTAACCCTGAAATAGCAGAACAGAGTCAGACACTGTAGAGGTCCAAAACCTATTTGATGTACTTTCCAAGATGAAATACATAGTAGTTGTAGTATAAGAGCAGTCTTAAGACATTTTCACTAACTTGCACTATTTTGATCCTGTATCCAGGCTCCTTTGTAAATAAGACAAATCAGTAATTATTTCCACTAGCGGCTCGCAAAGCACATTTTCCTGCCGGCTTTAATTATTCATGCTGTATCTATTTCAGTTTATTTAAATGCACTTCCATCTACTGCATGTACTTGGTTATTTAAAGAAATGTGCCGAATTGGTAAAAATGACTGCAGATTACAGGATTAATGGTCATTTTCTCCACAATGCAGTGTTCATATTTTATTGTAACAGTAGCCACCGGCATGTGTTCCTAGAAATATGAGGCTAAAATACTCATTTTGCACAGTAAAATTGCAGCGAGGGAAAGGTAGAATTGAGCCAGCGCGGGCAAGTTCTAGGCCATTTGCTCCCAAACACCGCTTCCTGGGCCAGTACCGCTATTCAGACGGTCTCTTTAGGCAACCCTGCTTATCTTAATGGCAGGGAGTTGCTGTGCTGATCCTTGGGGTCTGGCTGCTGCCTGCCTCCCTCACGCTGCCTCCTGTGCGATGATCGGTGCTCTGCGAGGAGCTCACAAGGCTCAGGAGCACGACAAGAGCGTTGGTGCAGCTGCCCCTGGCAGCACTGTGCTCTCACGGCAACGAAACAGAAGGAGGATGAAGGGGAAGAAGAAACCTCAGGTTAACTCTGGGCCGCTTCGCTCAGGCCCAGTTCTTAATCACCAGTTAGGTGATCCTGGTTTTGCGCATCCCAGCTGAATTTTAAAAGCTGCTTGGAGGAGTTTAAAGGAGGGAAGCAGCATTGCTGGACCAGAAAATTACTACTGTGGAAAGCCCCTGTGTGGTCTGTCCTGCTTTTAGTTAAGTATTACAGTTCTTTGGAATATGTCCATCTGCTGTTGAGTGTCCTGCTTGTTCTACCCCCTGAGCCTGTGAAGGCTCAGGTTTGTGCTAAGAGCCCCAAAGATGTATTCAGTGCCCTGACCCAGGTATAGCGAATGGGGAAATAAGTTTTCTTATTCTGCTGGCTGAGTAGTCTGCTGCTTGAAGAGGTCAGGAAAAAGGAGGAGAAAGAAGAGAAAAATGCACAAAGACCAGCAGGAAGACTGGGGATAACCATGCAGAAAGGACTGTCACATAGATCTGAGGGTTTGGGGTTTCTTTATGGAGTTTTTTAGTTTTGTTAGTGGGTTTTTTGTTAAGGTTTGGCATTTATAAAGAAACAGTTCTCTGATTTCAGTCCAATTGCTTCTCTTCTCTTTTCCACTTTGACTGAAACTTTAATTGCCTTTTCTAATAAGTGCTAACTGACCTTTCGAAACAGCAAAAAATACATGCCTATTTCTTGAAAGGTGCCTTTGTGTACCCAGTCGAGAACACTATGTGGGAGCATTCTGTTCTTTGGTTCTTTTGCAGATGCCAATGTTTAACTGCTTTACGACTCCTTATGATTCATTTTGTCCATAAGAATTTGTAGTTCTGAAGGTGATTTTTGACTTGAATCTGTATTTTGGTTGTAGCTCTTTTTGAAAGGACGTTGTCAGGTGTGTGGGCTCTATGCTCAAGGTGCTGCCATCAGTCAGAGCTACACGGGAGGCATACCTTCATGAAGCAAAGATTTCTAGAATAAAGATGGTTAAGATGTCTGATGGGTGAAGACCTGTATGCTTTAATTCTCTGTGAGATGTGGACAAAGAAACAAAACCTATTAATTTCATAGACCCTGTGGAAAATCATTTTTTATAATGCTGGCTCTTGCTCTAGTTATCAGCAGTACATTAGGAATAGTGTTTAGCAGTCAGTGCAAGCAAAGATATTTTGCCATGAGGCACTACAAAGTTGAAGTTATTAAAACATTTATAGCCTTAGAAAAAAAAATCAATGATTGTCAAATAGGAAAGGACAAAATCAGTAGTTGGGACTGGGAGGGGAATTGTTTTCCATCTGCTAAAACAGTAGAGGAAATGCAAAAATTAAACTAGCAAAAGCAATCCTTGACAGTGTCCTTTTAAGTTTAAGCTCCTATATTGGGAACTGCTGGCGGGAAGTTAATCCAGCCATGGACTGTTTGTCCAGAGTGTTCCCAGTGAATATTGTCCAGCTACACATCTGGATGTGTTTTACATGAGGCTTTGTGGAGTGACATGACTTTTCCCACCCACGCCTTCAGTTTTTGTCCTTCCTGAGAGGTTTGTACACACAGTTGATGTCTGTTTGTGTAGTTGTTGCTTTTGTGCTCCTTGCACACCATGGACCTGTAGTAATCACGCCTTTCTCATGTCTAGCCTCTCCAGTCTTGCTGTTGAATCCCGCCTTGAGCACATATTTATATATGTATGTGAGGTCTTAATCTAATAAATTACCTGGGAGTTTCATTTATCCTTCCAGACTTTTATTTGGCTTATCTTGTTGTTTTTGTCCAGCTCAGACATCAGTACTGCCATTGAAAATGTGTTCCGCTTTCCACATCATCACATCATGTATGTTGTGAGTCTCCAAATTGCTAAGATACATGAGGAGCTCATTTTAAGCCTCCTCTTCCTCTCCAGGACACAAGTCTTGCTGTGAGAAGGAGCAAGACCTCCTCTGGCGCAAGAAGTAGGGGAGAGGTCTCAAAATACAAAAGAGAAGAGATTGGAAGAGCCAGCACCATGCTTCGGGACAAAAAGGAGGAATTAAAGAGTGAGGAAGAAAGGATGGAGGTAAAGGCAAGAAAGGACAAATATGCAAGGCAGAGAACTGTACCAGAGGATGACTAAAGGTGTAGGTGACTTGGAGGTGAGCCAGAGGGTAGGGACGTGTTGTTAAGCTACAGTAAAGAGATAAAGGAGAATTGTGTGTTTATGTCTTGGAGTGAGAAATGTCTTCAAGCACAGGTTCCCTTACAGCTTTATGACTCCAGACCCCTTTTCCAGATCATATTCCTGCATTTGGGGTGCTACTGTCCAAGGGATACTTGGCAAATGAGGGAAAGAAGGAAATCACCTTGACCTAACTTAATTGCTCCCCTCTAGAGAAGCTGGACAGGGAGGCCAGAGCACAGGGAGGACCGTAGTGCAGAACCCATGTATAACCCAGGGCATGGACTGAATTAATTGCTAGCAATGTATGGTGACTTAAGATGACAGAAGAATGTGAGACTGGATGTAGCAAGAATCTGAATAAGGGAGAAATAAACAAAATTTGCAGTGATCCAATGATCTGAGCAGGTTTGGTGTTAAAGAAGAAGAGGAAAGGGCTCAGCTGCACTTCAGAGAAATTGAGCCTGAGATATCCCTTGAAAGTGCCCGTGAGCCTGGGGTTAAACTCTACAAGTTGCAGCAGAGATTTTCTGAAATATGACCTCCAGGCTGTATTTGAATTTGCACCATCTGTGGGGGAGAGAGCACAGCCTGGTTAGTTAGAAACCTCCTTTTTCACTGTTACTAAATTTATGAAATTGTGTGCTAATTAGTGTATGATTTATAAATTTACATAACTACATGCTACATAAGACAACACAGAATATTGAATGAGGTGATTTAAACCAGCAGAAGCAGTGAAGTCTGCTCTGACTGGGTGGCTTTCCTCTGGAAAGTGCCTCTTGTGATCCATATCTGCCCCACTCCCTGCATCACTTGAAGGCTTGTCTGCTCACAATGACAATAAATGTTTTACAATGTTGTGACTCCATGTAGATGAGAGACAACTACCCTGAGCATCTGTGGCATGGCTGTGCAGCAGAGCTTTCATGGTGATCCTTGGTGTTTGGAAGCAGAATTCAGCTAAAAAAGAGCAAGAAACTGTCCTGGTCAGTTTTGGTGCTTGATGACTCCACAGTTCACAGGGGGTGGAACAGCACCCCAACTGCAGCACGGGGATGGGAATGTGGGGCAATTGGCTTTGTTTCCCGGCTCTGGGGTAACCACTTTTCCTCCCTCTGCATCAGATTCTCTTGGTGAAGTGATCTCAGAGGGGCTGTGACTTATATTAGTGCCCATAGCAGAACATGCTGGATGTATCCACCAACAATTCGTCTGTCAACTGCAATCTGTAAGAGCAGAAGCATATGGGCCAGTCATTCCCATGGAACAGAAGCTGAAGCTCTCAGACTTTATGTATTTTGAGGCATGAAGGGGTCATTTCAGGCACTGGGGAGCTAAACTGGAGAAACTCAGATGTCACTGACTGGTGAAGCCCTAACATATGTGAGGTGAGAGATGCACAGATGGTCCCAGCAGACAAACTAACCCATGAGCTGCAGTGAGAGCCATAAATTCTTAGTTTCCTTAATTTGGGAGTCATCCTGAGTACGTGAAAAATGACTTTTCACTCATGGCATTCAGTAACTAGTCTTGGAGTGTAAGTTCATTCTTTCTGGTCTCCTCTCTGCAGACAAGAGGAGAGTGAAAAGCTGGAAAAAGTCATCTTTCCTGGTTGCTTACTGGCAATTACCTTAAAACCTTGAAGCATGGATTTGATTAAAGCAGTTATCCAAACACAGAGTGTTGAGTATCGTGAGCATTAAGGACAGCGTGGGAACTCTCTTCTGCTAGACCTGATAAGGAAGGAAAGGACAAGATGAATTCACAGGCACAAAAGCTGGTTCTTTCTCGAGTTAGGGTTGACTGCGAAGAAGTTAAATTCAAATTTTAAAATCGCCCTGTTAAAATCTTCCAGCATTTGATTATTCTTGCTACAACAAAACTGCCCTATTTTGAGGCTGGGGTTATCTACCTTGAATTTCCAGCCTGCTGGACTTTGTTGTGCCTTTGGAAGCAGGATTGCAAAGTTCCCATGTTGTCAGACAGTACCCTAAAGGCAGTGATAAACTCCTGGTCCAGCCTTCTGTTTGCCGAGATGGCATCCTTTATGGCTTGTCCCCTAATGTCTGCTTTCCAGCCCCTGGGTGATTTGGGGGGCCTGTTTCTGAACTTTCTCTATTATTTAAGCTTCTTGAAGGGTTTGCACTAGAGCAGAATGCCGAGTTTCAGGTGCTGTTGATGTGAAATGGTGACAGCGTGGCCTCATTCTGCACAACATTTCCATTTTGGCACTTTCAGGAGCCTTTTTTGGAGGTGTTGGGCTCAGTACCTGGTCTGGTTGCACTTCAGATCACGGCCCTATTTCTTGAAGCAGAAATTCTGTAAGTGAAACCAAGAGACCCTGCTAAATTTAGAAGAGTTGAGGACGAAGGAATCATGTGAAGTAGAAATACCAGGCAGAAAGAAAAACATTGTAGGATTCAATTTGGGATGGAGCATGCATGAACGTGTAGGTGCAGCACCTGTGAACTCAGACACCTTGAAAACAGTCTGACAGACACATGGTTGATGGGGTGGGGCAGACCCAGACAACACAAACTCTTAGAAGGGGACAAGTGAACAAAGCACGAGGCAGAAAAAAAAAGACGAGAAGACTTTTGAGCTGCAGGTGAGAAGGCGATGACATCTCTGAATTGCAGAGTAAATGGCTCCTTGTCAGTGGAGCTGGTGCCCCTCTATTTGAACTAGTGCCTTTAGCACAGGGATCTCATTACCAGAGAGTTTACTGGCAGATTGGAGAGATTTCAGTGAGGAGTAATAAAAATGATCAGGGACTGCTAGAATTGACATAATGAGGAAACAAGATGAGAAGAGTCAGATATTTATAGCTTGGGTGAGAGAGACAATTAAAAGGTGGGGTGGGAGATGGACTGGGTGACCTGAAAGCCTTGTCTGTTTCTAATAACTCCTTGTTGTCTGCTATACGGAGGATTTGAATTTACCAAGGCTGTCAATCTGCCTCTTAACAGCCCTAACTTCCCATGTTGATAAGCTCAGGTGGGTGTACTCTGGCTGTATTGGCAATGTCAGAATGTCACTGGTACTGTCCTCTGTTTAAAACAGTAGTCATCAGCCATGTTGTGGGGAAAAAATGACATGATGACAAGTAAAGGGAAAAAAATTAGACCTTCATAAAATCAAAAGCCATAGAAGACCTTGCTGAGAGCAGGGCTGATTGGGAAGGGCTCTCTGGCTGTTCAGCTGATGATGCTGAGCTTTTCCTGCTGCCCACAGGGTGGCCTGTGCAGTAGGAAGGTCCCTGAGGAGGGAGCAAATGGGAGCATTTTTCTCTGTGAGCTGGCACCCAGCTGTGCACACAGCTGAGCAAAACCTCTGCTCTCCAGGACACACAGATGTGCACAGGCTGTTGTCCCCAACAGCTGCTGAGCTCCCCTGACAGCTCTCGGAGCAAGTTCTGTGCCAGACAGAAACCTGCCAGTCCCACTGACGGCTGCAGCCGCCTGTGGGGTTTTGCTTCCCTTCCTGCTGCCCCAGTGCAGTGGCACCCAGCCCTGAGGGACAGGCAGCCACAGATATTCCTGCACCTCGGCCAGGGCCAGTGTTCAAGCAGATTTTTAGAGCCTTAGGTTTGCTCTGGACTTGAGAGACTGCAGCAGAGCTGGAGGCAGCCGAGCTGGAGACATCCCAGTTCCTGGCTTGCAGTCAAATTAAAACACAGCTACCGAAAGCAACAGGGCTGTGTTTGTTTGAGGCACTTTGGGGAAATATCAGAGCGGTGCTTGTTGAGTCTGGTGGTGGAGTAGCCGCTCTGTTTTAATGATACCTGTGTGCAAAGGCCACAGCTGCTGTCATCCTTTTCACATTAGTCTGACTTTCACAGAACAGACATAGCCTAGGGTGGTGGAAGGGAGAGAAAGGTGACCAAAAAAAAAAAACATCCATTCCATCCATTTTTTCACTACTTTTTCGGTCCTTCTGAGCTGCAATACCAGTCTCTGGCTGAGCAATAGTAATCTTATCCAGCGTACTGTTGATTTAAGCCTCTTGGATTTATATAACTTTGGAAATGGTAAACTATATTAATTTGCTGTGTTTTCAAGGGAAAGTTATTTATTGAGAGACATTTTTAACTCAAGTGCCAGGAGCCTTAAATCATTATAATAAATTCGTGCTATTCAGGGTTTCTTACATTGTAATAAATTTGTTTTAAACATGAATGAGGAGATCCATGATTTCTTTAATATACTGTTCTGTATTTCCTTTCAAAATGACACAGCTCACTATATCAAGTGGGAGAATAATAGTGAGAGATTTACAGCACTTAAGAATAACACAGCCTGGAAATGTGACATGTGAACTAACGTGGGGCAGGGGGCTGGAAGGTGCAGGGAGACCCCCAGCTCTCCTGGTGGCACTGCTGAGAGTTAAACAGCAACAACGGGTCAAGATGAGTGAGTGAAACCAAGAACTGGGTGGGAAGCTCCCTGCAGGGTGGGGACCACAAAAGGGGCTTGTCTTTGCTTCCATTTGAATGTGCAGCCATCCCTCAAAACACCTGAAAGGTGACAAGGACCATCTGCAGTGACCTGGGAGGGTGACCCAAATCAGAGCAGCACTTGAACCAAAGCTTTGCTTCCCAGCCTGGGGTTTTCCTCCTGTTCCTGACCTCGGAAACCTGCCACAGCTTTTTCCCAGGGAGCTTGTCTGCCCTGGCTGTGATGGTGGTGGGGAGCAGACCCCTCAGCGGTGGCCACTGGCCCTGAAGTGCCACGAGGAGGCATCAGGTGAGCACTCAGATAAATTTTGGTCTCTGTTCTTAATCCTTGACCCCCCATTAAACCCCTGCTGACCCTCCTGCTCAGCATTACACACATGGAGGACTGTGAACACACACCGTAAAACTTGGGGCTGGCTTTACACCAACTCCTCCCAGCTTCACAGGGGCCCTGTGGGCTGGCACAGGGACAGGCTGGGTGGTGTCACAGCCGGGATCTGAGGCAAATCCACCTTGGCAGAGCAGTTGTGGCTTTCTTGGGAAGCAAAGCTCGCTGCCCCATGGAACATCTGCTGAACACCTGTGCCACAGCCCACTTCCAGAGTGCTGCAGGAACGAGGTCTTACGTTTGTGGTGATCTTAGGATCGGGTTTGAGTGGGGCAAAGCATCATGGTGCCCAAAATGCCAAAGGCCAGTTGGTTTCCTGCTGTGTAACGAGAATGGTTACCCCACAGGAGACACTAAAGTCTTCCAGCTCCCCAAGGCACAGCTTTGCTGTATTGAAGAGAGGAGCCGTCCTACCATAATGTGAAAATCAGGTGCTCTGGATGCCTGTGCATGGAGAGAAGAGCATTTCCCTGGCTATAAAGGGTTAATGAGTCTTTGGTGGGTGTGGCAGTAGCAGAGGGTAGTTAAATGCTGCTAGTTTTCTCCGGAAAGGGGGTGGCTGTGCTGCTGCTTCTCCTCCTGGGTGCTGGTGAGATGTAGGACAATCAGGACTTCAGCTGCCCAGGGAGGGTGCTGGTAGACCACTGAGGATGCCTGTGGGCTGCTGGCTTCGTGAGGCCGGACCGCTCAGGAAAGGGGAGGAGAGGACAAGAGAGGGCCTCTCGTGCTCACAGAAGTGATGGCAGGACCTCATCTGTCAGCACAGAAAAATGTCTGGCCAATAAACTTGCCAAACGTCCCTAATAAAGGGCTGGATGTGTTATCATGTAGAATGGTTTTATAGGGGACAGCCATAAAACGTGCACATTGCCCTTTAAAATGCCAGGACGAGGATTGATTCCAGCAGGGTGGAGGGAGAGGAGGAGGGGAAATGAGGCTAATTGGAAAAGGGGGATAAATCCAGGGGCTCGTTTCTCTGCCTTGGGTCCCCAGGGTGTCAAGGAGCAGTAACAAAGTGGGATTCACTGCCTTACGGGCTGTGCCTGAAGCTGGGCTGCTCTGCTCTGCCCTCCCCACCCTGTGCAGTGCTGAGTTTTCTTTCTGGCATTTGTTCCTGCTGCAGGACTCTTGCACTTGATATCCAGCCCAGGAAAATGCTGTGGAGATACCTCCATCAGCCTCTTTGCTGGTTCCTCCTCGTTCGTGTTTCTCCTTTTAATCCCAGGGGTCCAACACCCATTTTCTCCCCCTCTCCAGTTCCAGGAGCTGTGTCCTGCCTGCCCAGCAGTCCCATCACCAGCTTGTGTCTCCTGCCTGATGACTTCAACTGCCCTGTGTGTGTAAATCCACCACTGCTGAGAGATTAACCACAGAGGTTTGGGCAGCAATTTTGTGTCCCCTGTTCCATGGACAGGGGACAACCCATCCCCCCCATCAGGGGATGCAGGTGGCTGTGTGTGCTTTGAGCTCCGCTTGGATAAACAGGAGAGAGGAAGCTGGAGGGAGGCCCAGGGTGTGTTTAGTAGCAATCAATAAATATATTGTACTCCAGCTCACTTTTAATGCTGCAGAAAACAGGCAGTGATTTCACTTAATAAATGTAGACAGTCTTGTGGAGCTACAAGACCATCTATCCTGCTGGACAGTTTCTGCACCACAGGACTGCACGTGATCCAGCTCCCAGTGTTATCCACAGCTGAGGCTCACCAGCTGCCGTGGGCAGAGGGGCAGCCTCTGGTTTTTCATTTTCTTATTTGAATTTCCCTGAACAGAGACACTGGGAAGCCCTTGGTGTCTCATGCCACCCCCCCCGGAGATCTGACAGAGAGAGAAATAAAAAAAAGAGTCTTCTCAAAGTCTGAAGGCCTTGTGGATTTGGCCATGGGGTGGGAGGTGGGCAGGTACTGGAGAGATGGAAAAAGAAAGAGCCAGGAAAAGCCAGATTTTTGTTGGCAAGGACTGTTTCAAAAAAGTTTCTCAGTGTGGATTTGTTGGTACGTTCCAGATCTCACTTGTCTGCCCACTCTGTGCATGTGGTGCTGCTGAATTTCAAATTTGCAGTGTCCCTGGCAGCCCCCATCGGAGCTGGAGGTGGCACCTGTGGGAGTGAGGTGGTGCAGGCAGAGCACCTGGGCTCTTTGGCTCTGAAAATGCTATTTGGCCACCCAGGGTGACTGACAGAGGTTTTGAGTTCTCTCAACTGAATGGTGCTCAGGTCCAGGTCTTTCAGTCTTGTTTCACAGCTGTGAAGTTCAGAACAATGTCCAGGCTCCTGAGGTCTGGATTTGCTTCTTTGCTCCCTTTTGGCCCAGGTCCATCTCTACTGCACTCACCACAGTGAAATTTTCATTGAACACAGTTTTAGTTCTGGATTTGTAATTAAATTTAAGGGCTGGTAAATTTTGCTATGAACATTTTTCTGGCTCCCCTCCTAAGCATTTGGTCTGTTCAAATAGTACTTAGTGTTCTGCAGATGCTGTTGGATGTTATACTGCCAAACACAAGCATGAAAAATGTGTGATTTGGAAAAATACTAATACATTTGAGGTCTTGTTTTTGCTTTTATGATCACACTTCAAAGCTTTTTGCAATGTTTGTTACAGTTATAAACTTATGTGACATGTGGGAATATTGTTCTACCACTTGACTCCAAAAGCTGTGACCTTCATCATCAAGTTTATGATCAAACCATGGACATGGCATCACTGCCCATAATTGCTTTCTGAATTAAAATATTTCCCCCAATCTCCAATAATAAGGAAAATGAAATCTTCTGGTAGGGTTTAGTAGCTCACCCTGAAAGAGTTTCATCTCATAGTAAACATTAGGCCACGTAGTGATTTCTGGGCACCTCTCTGCTTTGAGACCCATGGGAGAATTAACTCAAATTCATTTTTAAACGGAATTAATTAAACTGCATCAGGACTCTGTTTCAACACTGAGAATTAAGATAAGTTGAAGTAAGACCCCTTTAATTAATCAAAAGAGGTGAGAGACCTCTTTGACATCAAATGTAAGTGCCCGAGGAGCTGCTGGTGTGATGTGACCAGTCCTTTTTGCATATGTTTAATTCAGACTGAATGACCTAGTGTAGACAAGCCCTGGAATGTTCAGACTGGGTGTGATCATAGTGAAAATATCTGCCTTCCCAGCTGTTTTGCGAGGGCACAGGTGGTATGTAAGAAGCAGGTTGCTCTATAAAATGCGACAATCGGTCATGGTCTTTTCAGAGTCCAGTAACACCACGGAGCTTTCACAGGTTTAGCAACAGACATAGTCCTTAAAAAAAAACCATAATTGCCAGTCTTTCATCAAGGATGGGAACATTTCAGCAAAGAAGGTAAACTAGAGATAAGAGCTCCAAAACATTTGCTACCTGGCTGAGTTTTGTCCCATATCACTTTGATTGGGGGACTCTTATTTGTTGATTTATGGGGGTGGAGGTTAAAGTTTAATCGGCTTTTGTGTACATTGGGAAAAGTTTGCTTTTGGGTAAAGACTCAGAATCATTTAGCTAATTAGATACCAAGGTGATGCGTGCACTGTGTACATTTCTGACAGTTTCTTATTCTTATCTCTGCCATCAGTAACTTGGCTGTGAAGTCTGATGTCTGAAACCCTGCCAAGATTTCTGAATGGAGTCACTGGTGAGGGGTTTCTTCAGCTTTCAGTTCCCTTTTCAGAATATAAGAAGTTTTCTGTTTACTTTTATCTTTTTCTTTCCCTCCTTTCTGTTTCCTTCCAGCTGGGGATCTGACACGTGATTGACTCGCAGCACCTTGGAGACGCTCTGTAAAATATCCACGGACACTTCTGTTTAAGAGGAGAACTGGCCAACTGGCCAGCATTAGGGTGTTCTACAGCAGAGGTGTTCAGGGTGTAGTGAGAGTAGGGGAAGCTCATGAAACTGATCCTTCAATCATCATGCCAGTGTGTATTCACATAGCATTTTCCTGATGTCCAAACAAAGCTGTTAAATTCCTGAGTGCATGTGGGATGTCTGAGGAGCATCCTATAGCTTGGAGCTCAAGATCCATGTCATGAACCTGCCGGTGGGCCTTAATGTGAAGTCCAGATGGGGAAGGGCAGATTCCACACAGCGTCATGCCACCCCAAAACCCACTTGAATGCAACTTGATCAAAAACCCAGAAGGCAGATGGGGTACCTTGCAGAAGAACTGCCTAAGCTCCTTCTGGAAAATACCAAGAGGTCTGGGCCAGCCTTTGTGGTCCTTTAGAGAACTGGAGGCCCGCAGGGTGGACTGTGCCAAGGTCACTGGGGAGCTGTGTGGATTGGCAGGGTCTCTGAAATCCCTGAGTGGGATGTGCTGCAC